AGATTTCCCCCATCGCGCTGTTTCCTCATCACCTACGCCCACATCCCGCTTTTCTGCGGCGTAATTGGACGAGCTCGTCTGTTGGGGATAATTAGGGGGCGTGCGCGTGGGAAGACGATGATGCACGGGGATGTTTACCCTTCGAAACTGCCGGAGCGTTGACAATTTGCTTGAGCTAATCAACGTTTCGTGCATCTCTCACGCAGTCGCGTGTCGAGGGAAAGAGGATGAATACAGCAGAGGCAGGAAAGTTAACTAGACCATGTCTTGTGCGCTACCTTACGCGTGGGGAGGCGGGTATAAGAGGGTAAGATATAAAGAAAAAAACGATCAGGGCACACATTGAACACAACACACAGTCCAGCGTATCAGAGATATTGGGGTTATTTCTTTCTGTTACTTCGTTTTCTTTAATTCAGTGCCTGTAATTATACATTACAGTATTGCGTACTTACGCAATGGTCTCACTGCTTTTCATCACGGCTTTCTTCCTTTTCTTCGGCGTATCATGTGTATCTGTACTGCAGAAAACACCGTGCTATCAAAAAAGAGAAAAAGAAACAGGAGGATGATCTTAATTTCATGTCTGGTGGTCTCATGCATGTCGCCCATTTCCCGCTTGCCCTTCCAAGCGACTGTGTACTTTGTTCTGCCGAGCACCAGGCCAGAAGTACGCTTGTACCTATTTAGCCAGTAGGTGCCTGGTGGTAGCAATGCTCGGCCTCCCACAGCAGCGGTGGATGCTCAACTAATTCACCAAGGCTCTGGTGGACGCCCACAGAGGCCTCCGCAGAACCTTATGGGCCTACCTCTTGAGATGAGCACCCAGAAACAACCGAGTGCCAAGTTGGTGTTCTCCTCTACCCATCGGGAAAATCCGGTGGGTCGACACTGGAAATCGAACACGTTACCTCCCGCATTGGAAGCGGACGCTCTAAGCTACCGCGGCGATTTCAATGCCACCACTATCTCTGTAAAGAAAATGTCGTGTACGAGTCCTATGGGGTGAATATCCCCGTGTATTCGTGGGTGACATGCTCGCGTTTCGGTATACAGTGCGCTGGTTCGCTTCCAAACTTTGGTTGTGGAAGCCTGGCTGATGCTGCTGTGCTGTTTTGGTGTTTTTCTCCTCGGCCAGCGAGCCTTCGTCGTCGTAGCCGCCGACTGGCGCACTCGAGACATTGAGCTCACCTAAACAAGCGCTTGACTCGTTACTGTGGCCACGTACACTCAAACGGTGGAGCTATTCAGGGACCGTCGTAGATCGAAGTGAGATTTTCATGCGCCAAGCGGATAAATCCCGCTACGGATATGCGCCGCCACTCGTCCCTCTTCAGACACCCACTTCATGCCACCTGCTTTACTCTTTATTTCAAATAACCAATTACCATAACTTATTTAACCAATTAGTCGTTGTAATGACCCTAAGTGCCAGTTACTGATGTGTAAAGCATCAGCAACGGTGTAGTCTTTCGCAGTTCTAGGGAGCTCTCTTTGTTAATTACGTTTTGTAGTCGAAAAAAAAAAAGCTAGTTGTGCGTTTCCGCCATTGGTGTGTACGAGTGATCCTGACGAGCCGCGGCGTAATCTGCGGTATTCTCGATCACCTCTGCAAATCCGGTCCTTCCGATTTAATATGGCGTATTTGAAGATCCCTCTTCTCGCGTGGCCTTTGTAGTGAGATGGCATTAGTGCACGCAGCGTTCATCCTCCTACACGCAATAACCACCTTCTCGAGAAATGACTACCCACTGCTGGATCGAGTATCAGGTACCTTCTCTCCTTATTGAACAGCCGGCGGATGTCTGGAGGCGCGGTCAATCGAACTCGCCGTCACCGGCATAAGAAGCGAGTGGTTGCGGTACTATAGGACTGACCTCTTACCGCTATATCTTCCCATTTCACGTCACCACCTTTCGTTCATCATGTTCTTCTCTCACCTTAGCATTTACGCCCCTCTCGTCAGCGCTGCTGCCAAGCTTAGATATCGTAAAATCAGCGAATAAAACGAGCCTAATAACGAGCGAACACTTGAGTCTCACCATTTCTTCCCCTGATATATGCGTGCCAAACAGCGGACCAGCTGCGTGGTGCGACGACGGTGTTCCCCCGATGCCGACGGGCTTGCTTGGGGCGCGAGGAGGACTCGGCGGACGACGTCCGGTGCTCGAGTGTCCGTTACGTAAACGGCGCCAGAGTATACTTCATTCTGGAGACCGCTTCTATTTGCGTGCCCGTGACGCACAAAATGATGACGTGCTTCGGGGATACACCTAGAGTAGGTCCGTCATTGTGTCTTGAGGCAGCGCTTACGCGACAAAAAAAAAAAAGAAAGAAAGAACTAAGCCAGTCGCCGTTTCATTGGTTATAGTGAGTGTAATGGTGTTCGTTTATCAATACTTTAAGTAATTTGCTGAGTGATCAATTGATGGTTTGCATTTAAGGAAAATAACATGCATTATTGAAATGATGAAGCGGAATGCCGATAGCTCCTTTGTTATGGTTCGAGTCTGCTGAACCGAAAAGCGATGGTTCGATCCCTTTCGCGTTGGTCGAATTGTGGCGGAAGCACAGTGGCATAGGGCCCCGTTCTTTCTTAAATAATGTTTAAAAAATCCCCAGGCCGGTGGTCGAAATTATCTGCAGCGTGTGCACTTAGCCTTAAATTCTTTCGCACTTGAAAGCGTTAAAGCCTATATACAAAGCAGTTAGAAGAGAGCCGGGCATACCAGGACAGTTTTTAATGCGGGCCGGATCCAATGAAGCAGTTAGATATTTATTTGTTTTTTTTTGTTTTTTTAAGTCGGTCAACTCCATTTTTAGATTCTCGATAGATGTTGCCATGCTGCGCGGCAAAAAAATGAACACAGAGAAGACGCATGGCGCCCGAAACTCTAAAATAGTTCGGAGATTGCGGTGGACGGCAACCGCAGTCTCGCCGTAATTGCGTGCCGGGGTTTGTCGCACATCTCATGGGAACACTCCGCGCAGGACAATGGGATTTACGTAACGTAACTGATTGTAACTGTATCATGGTCGCTTGCGTCTCTGTCTTGTTTACCCTCACCGCAGTGAGGACCGGTCAGCCTAGAGACACCGGGCAGACCTCTCCTCTTGTCTTCTTGGCGTCGCCCACTCAGGTTTCATTCGGCCGCGTTGCCGCCATCTACGAATTGCCTACAGTCTCCACCTGTGGCTACGATCGCCCCGTTATTCCGAAACCCGGCTATTCTTGGGCAGCGCCGATTCTGGCGTGCCTGTACATGGGCGCGCTTTGTCGCGTGGCAGGCGAATCGTGCGCCGAAGACTCCGGGTTATAAAAACGGAAGAATGACGACACGTGTGTCGTGCAGAGAAGCCGTACGTCTCTGTGATGGAATTATTTAAATGTCATGAAGCAAATCGGCTGAGCGAGCCTATTGGCTAAATTCCTGCTTTTCCCCCGCCAATTTCGGCTCTATGAAAAGGGGGGGGGGGGGGTTAATCCTGTCTCCGAGGGATCAAGAAAGAACACGCGGGAGATGGTGGCTAAATTATTCAAATTTGTGTCTGTATGAAGGAACCCGTATGAAAATGAAAAAAAAAAAAAGAAAAAGAGGCGCCGTGATCTATGCTGGAGAAGCTGAGCGGTCATTACGACGTATCGATAAACGCTCTGGAAGCGTGCTGAGGAAAAGCGAGAAAGATAGTGGGACGGTGCCCTCGTTTTTACTTTTCTCACTTTCCATCCTCTCCGAGAACGAAGTGCGGTCCGGACAAGACGGCTGCTTGTCGTTTCCGTGATCATGGCCGACTACATGGGAGGTTGAAAAAGAGCTCTTTTAAGGCTTTGCCAGAGATTGGCGGGGATGAACTGGTAGGACTACTTGAGTTCTTTAAAACCGTGGCAGAGGGCCTCTGCCTGTATTTGCGGTAGTTCCGTTCACCCTATTCTTTCTTTCCCCCTTTTTTGTATGCATTTGCTGAAGCCTCAAAGAAACAGTTGGCGTGGTGTGTGCCCCTGGCGCCATCTAGTGTGCTCTTTCATACCACAGCATATAGGCAATAACTGCGTGCTTCCTGTCCAAGTACGTCATATTGAAAACTTGATGTGAGAGTTTGTAAGGTATAACTAGCAGCAGATGAAGTACGTTTTTTTTTTATTTATTGGTACTGCGATCTTTTACAAGATCATAGCAGGGATGGTACAAGGCATAAACATAAACATCAGTGGAAACAGGCAAACAAACAATAAAAAAAACAAATTTAATACAAACCTATGTAACTGATAGCTACAGTGATTCTTCGAGACAAGAGAATCAACAAAAAGCAAGGTACAAACATAGATAACAATCATTTCAGCAGTGACTCTTCAAATGCAGACAATGTATTTAGGGTAACAACATCGTTATGTAGATTGTTCCAATCCACGATAGTCCTTGGAAAAAAAGAATATTTGAAACAATTTGTTCGTTGCATCAATGGAGAGAGAGTAAGATTGTGTCTCTGTCTTGTTCCGTAACCCAATGAAAAGTGAACGATATGTGATGTGTCAACTGTATAGTGACCTTTTATTAACTGGAAAAGAAATTTTAAGCGCAATATTCGATTTTGGTCCGGAATGTTTGGAAATTTGCTTTTCAAGAGAAGTTTTGTAATCGAAGTAGGACCGTACGAGTTATAAATGAACCTAACAACCTTTTTTCTGCACCCTTACAAGTTTTTGGATATCAGTCTGAATGAACGGGTCCCATATGACCAATTCGATGCATTCAGTGCATACTGAAGTGTCTAAACTTAATGTTTAGCAGTAACTGTCGCACATATGTTGCTAGCACATGCTGCTGGGCAAAATAAGTACGAAAATGTGCAAATTATTGCACCCTATGATCGAGGTATTCGTTTATGGCGTTGTCATTCGGTCATATTTCATGTTCTGAAATAAGATGTCGAATGTACATCTTTGTCCAAGTCCTGTTCGTGTAACTAATTGGTGGTCCTCTCTCTTCCACATGCTGCAGACGAGGCGAGGCAGAAGCGCGTCGGTGTGCTGGTGCACTGCCTGGCCGGGGTGTCGCGCTCGGTGACGGTGACGCTTGCCTACCTGATGCAGAAGCACAAGCTGCCGCTCAACGAGGCGTACGACCTGGTCAAGAAGCGCAAGGCCAACATCGCACCCAACTTCAACTTCCTCGGCCAGCTTCTCGACTTCGAGCAGTTGCTGGACCTGCGGCCGCAGCGGTGCGGGTGCTGCCACACGCCGTGCCGCTGTCGCCGCGCGCTTCACTTCACGTCGCCCACGCGCACCACACCTGACTCGGGCATTGACCTCGACCGGTGGACGTAGCGTGAGGCCCGCGGGGGCAGCCGCTTCCAGTTTGCCCCCGCGGTCACACCTGATGAGCTCGAGCCCGTGCTCGAGCCTACGTCAGAAGAAGACGACGAAGAGCTCGGCGCATCGGCGTCGGCTGCAGGCAGCCACCATCAGCAGCCGCAGGACGGCTGTGATGCCGTCTGAATGATCCGGCGTACGGCCTTCGCCCCCTCAGCAACCTTATGGTGGAGCCACAAAAACCATCCCTCGTCTGCCTCTCTTCAAGCTGTAGTTGCAGCAACGAGAAGAAATGGAAACTTGGGCTCTAGACTTGGGAAGGGTGCCATCTCCAGTAGATTTCCATCTACTAGTACTGTGCAAGAACTTGGTACTACGTCACTTCGACTTACTGCCCCGATTTTGCCACCATTTGCTCAAGCATTGGTGGGTGGCTTGGAGAATTCGATAGTTGCAGGAAACGGCTTAAATAACGCCTACTTTCCGGGTCTGTGCTTAAGAGCCACGTCCACACCACCGGTGGCAAATAGATGCTGTAGCAGCATCTGCCAACTGTGCTGAAGGTACCCTGAGGTTTAAAGAACAAGGGAATAGTGATGACAAAAAAACATTGTACAAGCTCAGTGCCATGTAAGCACTTGCTTCAGTTGTGCGAAACTTGATTGCATTAAGCTCCAGTTAGTGCCAAGTATGAACTTGACATTGGCAGGGACCCAGAAGTTTTTTCTCGTTTTTTGAACCGTAAATTTCTTTTTTCTCTCTCGAAACCTCAATATCATGCTCAGTGAAAGCTTTCAAATCTCAGTATTCAACATGGCAATTGTAAAACAATTGCCATGTTGAATACTGTTGGAACTTTATGTTGGAACTTTATGGTTAAATAATGTTGGAACTTTATGGTTAAAATTTAATACCATTTTATTATATCTTGGTTTTCTTCTGAAACGCATTTTGCATTCAATGCCATTTTACATGGATGTTGCTCACACTCTACCAGTAAATATTTGCTCCACACATTTCGTGTAGATCTTCAGTGCCATTGTTGCATTATTTTTCATTGTCCTGCACGATCTCTAACTGGCCAGCCATTGCAAAAAATAAATATTCTTTGAGCATTCAGCATGCAAAAGCAGAGTGGAGAATACTAAAAGAAGCATTAAGCATTTCAGCTTATAGTCATGTTTGGCACATCCACTTGTGAAATTACATCTGTAGCTTCTGGGAACTTGCCATGTTTGTAGCAAGTACAAAGCATCTGCTCAGCTAGACCACTGTGCCAGCTGGTTTTGAAAGCGTGGACCATAAAAAATGCCTTTGAGGGCAACCTTCATGGCCTCCCTGTGCATTCGAGGGGTGCAGCTCTTGACAGAGAGTGATTGCTGGTAGCAACTCAACTCCCCTTGGCCAGGTGCTGTTCGGCCGCCAGCTGCAAAGTGAATAGGTCAGCTGTGTTACGCGATGTTTTCAAACAAGAGATGTATAAAGCTGCTCAATGACTGGCCTTTCTGCGGCACCAAAGTGCTGAACTACGGTGACTTTAAGGGACTTGTATTTGATATCCAAGCTCTGGAAGAGGTAGTACCTCTGTTCTTAAGCTTATGGCCTGTTCAATGTTCATGTTCAAGGAACTTGTGAAATACAAGTTTGGTACTACTGCAATTGTAGTCTGATATAGCTACGAACTGGCACGTATTGAAAGTTGAAGTGACAGTGAGTGCATGTTAGCATCTGTTCTTCCATGCAAAATGAAGTAGCGAGCCTTGTTTTTTTTTATTTTCAGTGGCTGCATGGTTTGAAAGAGGCAGTGCTGAAGGATTGTGCTTTTGCCAAGGACTGCTCATTTGGAAATAACTGTGTTGTGGGACTAGTAGGTTTCCTTTATGAAGTCCTCAGTTACAGCCCAAAATTTTTACAGGCTGCTATGAAAACATTCGCATGTTCCTAAAGGTTTCATCTTGGCAGTGCAATCTTTCCTTTAACATTACCGGTCTGGTGGGCTGGGCTTTTGTGACGTGCATCCTACGTTGCCACTTCAGGAAAACGAAGTGAAATAATATACTGACCAATTGGTATATTTCTATCGCTTTGCAGATAATAACGAAATGCAGTTTTGCCTAGAAGGCTGCTTTTAACGATGTGCAAGCAGACATTATTAGTTCATTCTATTCAAGAGTCTTCCTGTTTCCACTGTCAAAGATGATCAGTATGTTCTTTGATGACTCTAACAATATTTCTGGCAGTTACTGCAAGCCAAGTTCTGCTATAGTGGCACTTGATATGAAGGGGCATAGAAAGCCTTCCATTAGCCAGAACAAGCAATACACACGTAAGACATTTTTGTCTAGTGCACAACAGACCCCCGTGCCAGGTATAGTATATTCAGCCATATCCTAGCATTAACACAGATGCATACCTTTGATTAACAGCACTTCATACTCTAGACTTGACATGCAGGAACCTCATTCCTCAGTTGTCTTCCTTCACTGTGCCAAACACTGGGAATCAGCAGTGTTATGTTATGAGAACTAGCCTTGCAGACATGCTGGCAGACATGCTGAAGCACCTTATCAGTGCAATAACTTTTACAGCCTTACCACCAAAGCACCATATGCACTCATCACTGTATGTGTAGTGGCTGAAATCAATTTCACACCTGCAAGCTGCTGTGCCACAATCTAGAATGAAACATTTATCCACTGCTTGAAGAAGAAACCACTTTTGTTAGCTCCTCTGAGCTCCTACAAAGTGTCTCTGTGTCTGTGCTTCAGTGAAATACTTGTAAATATGTAATTTAATTTACTTCTTTGAAACGGTAACATAGGGAGCTTCACCTCACTTTTGCCCAGCCCAGCCATCATTGTTTTTATCCTGTAAATAGCATCAATCATGTTACACGTGTATATAGTGTATATAAGTGAATGGCATAATGTTATATATGTTGTTCTTTCATTTTATTTTTCTCTTGAAGCGCGCTGCCATATCCCTACAATCTTTGCAGGGAAGTTGGTCGCATGTTGAATGCATACTATTGACCATAGAAAGATTTTCCTCCTCAACCTGATCGTTTGTTGCTTTGTTGTTGATGCACACATTACTGTTGGTTCACTTGTTGGTGCAACCATGTTCAAGTGTGAGAAGCCTGTCACTTATTGCAGTGACTGAGTTTGTTAATGAACTTGGATGACTCGGTCATAGGTGGTGCAGGAGCTCGGTCACTGTGGCGAAAACCCTCGCACAGAAAGAATCTTTCGTTATGTAATATGATTAAAAACATTGCATAATTTTAAAATTGGAGCTATGTCAAAGTTTATGTGGGCTCGGCCCATTGGCGGATACAGAGGGGGGGTCAGTAAAGGCAATTGCCCCCCCACTGAGACCTCTTGCAGTGCCCCTCCCCCTTAATTCAATGTTCGTAGTCCCCCTCCTATCACCAATTAGGACAAATGAGCGAGACCACTGTGAGCAGGTATTAACAGTATTTGTGCTAAGAAGGTTTTTTTCTGCTAGCAAAACCAATACTGTCATGACCACGCCCCCCCTATCCGGTGTTACTTTAGGTGACCCCCCCCCCCCCCTAAAATGAGTGGCTGGATCCGCCCGCGGCTTGGCCCAGGCATGAACTGGATTTGTGCAATACATTTTGTCAAACTGCTGCCTGGTGTGCTGTCATATTTAGCACAGTTCAGTCTCTCGCTGTGCCTGTCATTCTGGAGGTCTTCTTTGCCGAATGCAATAGATCAGTTTGTTATGAAATTTTGCGAATGAGGTGAATTTGAAATGTCCTGCTTCTCCTGCACTGGAACGCTTGCACCACCTATGAAAAAGTAACATCATGTGCAATTTTCCCGACTGGTCTGCCGTAAGTAGCCTGCCAAACACATTAGCCCGAACACGGACATTCTTTAGCGGGTAGCGCGGCTGCAAAAGGAAAAACAAATAACTGTTATGAGGGGAACGTGGTCATCCGTTGAAGAGTAAGGGGACGCACCGTGTTATTTATCTCTCACTCTTTTTCCCATTTTTATATTTCCCCAACAGAAAAGTAACGCAGAATAGCTTTGTACTGTGACTAATAGAGGCCTCGTAATCATGTTGTAGCAACCACACACGTGCACTGCTGAAGCTCGTAACTACTTGTAGTGTCCAGCAAATGAGTAGTGTGTATTTCGGCATACCCACCTTTTGTAGATGTTTCACACCTCTAGCTGTTAATGGCAGGAAAGGGCGCACGTGTACGTCTTCCTTGATTTATGTGCTGTATTACGTGTTATCGGCCTCTCGCAAAGTACAAACCTTTCTCCTATTGGTTTGCTGATCTTTAGCTGTCAGAGAATTTACGTGCACCTAGTGGTGGACGCATTAGTGCTCTGGCGCCTGGAATGTTTCGGCTAAAGAAGACCGAGTTTTGCCAATGTGACATATATTGAGAAGCTTAGCCACAACACCGTATGTCAATGACATTAGCAGGCAACGAGCCAGGATTGTGGCTGAGTGGTTTGGTTGTTAATTGACACAATAGACTTAAAAGTATGACGTTAGGAAGTTTCACTGACCCGAGGCAAACTGAAGCACTCTAAGAGCTTGCGCCACCCTTCGCACACACGATTAAGTAGGATCACTATATACGATGGTGTCCCCTTCCTTTCATGAATGTTTCCTACCTTGCTCACTCATACAGCGCACAGACATCTAGCCAGCACAGTTGCAAAGCATCTGTTCATGACTTTCCGGTCCTGTGACCAAAGCGGTACTCATAGGTCGCTTAGTTCACATTCTCTATCAACCGTATGAAAACAGTCACTTGCAGTGCTGGCACCTCTAGCTAAGCTATTGCCCGGTGGAATTCAAGCGCAAAGGTTTCTCACGGAGCATTTTTCTTACCAGCAGGGAGCCAATATTTTTAATAAACCTGTTTGTAAACATCGCAGCTATGTGCTGGCTGGCGGGATTTCTGTGCAGTGGCTAGCATTGAAACAATATATGCATGTCGTTTGCAAGCATATAAAAAAAAGGACGGAGCACTTTCTCAGTTCTCTCTCCCATCCTCTCATATTTTCACGATATTGCTTCAGTGTGATGGCTAATGGTGCGTGCTGGCTTCTGGTACAACAATCCAGTCTTGTGTTGGGGCCAATCCTTGTTGAACTAACGATACGCCATGTTGGTTGCAGTGTTGTGGGTGCCAGCAGTGTTGCTAGTTATTATTTGTTAAAGACACTCAAAAGTGCAGAACCCATTTCGTCCCTTGTTATGAAATGCAGTGAACCGAGCTGTTTGGTTGCTAAGGCGCCACTTCATGCCAACTACTGCCGGAAGACTCTACTTGTGAGGTGACCGAGGACACAGAATGTTATTTGTGACGACGTTCGGCTGTCATGCATTCAAATTGCGCCCCACCACACCAACCGTGGCCGAAATACTTAACCTTGAAGTATTCCTGAAACATGTATAGATCAAAAACGCAGGACTCGCAGCGCGGTAGGGGCGCCGACGCGATGCCAGACATATGCCTAAAATTATTTTCATGTTGTTTGTGCAAAATGCTTAGTTCTCTCGCAACGCAGGGACACGGGCTTGTTGGGTGCACATGCTAGGCCCGTTGGCGCATTCATGCAATGCGACGCCGTCTTGTCAGGACTCGTGCCAAAACCGTGTGTCTACGATAGAAGAAAAAACAAGCGTCGTCGCCGTATGCCTAAAGCTTTGATGTTCAACCTGTGTCGTCTGTAGCAAGACAAACAAGAATGGTGCTGCTGTCAAACCCTTTCGCTTTTTTTTCTTTCGCTTCTTTGCTGACTAGACGTTTTCATTAAACTAGTGAATAGAAAAGCACAGCCCCACACACGGATCGTAGTGTTTAGGAACTTCATCAATAATTCTTAGCTTAGAATAGATTAGAAAGAGAAACTTTTACGCTGTGCGTGCTCTGGCGAAATATGTTCTACGCTAGCAAAAAGGTGTGGGGCCAAATGTGGTAGCATGGATGTATAGGTGTCCATAAGTATAGCTCCGGAATGCGTTTACATTTTTGACGCCTCTATTTTTGTGGTCGCGTGTCTCTTCATGTTAAATTCACAAAGCTGTCGTGACACCCTTTAATAATTTCTTGTCACTGTCCTAGCGTTCAGAGAAAGAGCCAACCTCGGTCGCCTCAATGAGTAGCTGCTTCCGCACAGTTTCAGGGGGGAGTAAGACGTAGCGACACCTTCACCCGCAAAAAGCAAAGTGGATGTCATAGACAACCTACTATTTCCTAATCTCTCCATTGTTGCGCCGTTTCCTGTGTTTTTCAGGCAACTGCAGTCTTTTATCATTGGATTGTCACTTCGCTCTCTGACTGCCAAAACAACGCTGGAGCTGTTCATCCTCCCTTGACCCTTGCTCCCTCGTTTTCATTTATCTTATCAAAATGTGATAACAAATCATCGCCGTGCTATGTGTATATGTTCTGTACATTATCAATCTTGTCCCATGCTCCTTTTTTCGCTGTTACGAAGAAAAAGCCTGTGCCTGTTGTGCAAAAATGCGTGGACTCGCGACAAACAATAAAGGTGTGTGATGTTGGTGTTTGTTTTGGACGAAGGTGAGTGTTTTTGGATCCCCGCACTCGCGTGTTGGTTGAGTGCTGCGTGCAAATGGAGACTGTTATAATCTCGGAGTTATTTCCATATACACCTGGAAAGCCAATAAAATGTGCATATTTTTCATGAAGTCGCTGTCCTTTTCTTGTCTGTAAGCCATAGCGCTACATCAATGCTTTTAGCTCCAAAGGGTGTGTCATGTGGTTAAGGACCGCATGTGCTCGGTAAAATTGTTGTAATTTCTGTGGAATGGTTACGGGCAAAAGTTGGAGAAACAGAGCAGAGCTAGTCTGTACATACACATGCGCTAAAGAGGCCCTGCAATTTTCTGAAGTAACCAAAAATGGTTCAATTGATCGGTCGATTTGTGGGCTTTAACGTCCCAAACCCACCATATGATTATGAGAGACGCCGTAGTGGAGGGCTCCGGAAATTTCGACCACACGGGGTTCTTTAACATGCACACAAATCTGAGCACACAGGCCTACATTTCCGCCTCCATCGGAAATGCAGCCGCCGCAGCCGGGATTAGCCACTAGACCACCGCGGCGGGGCTTCGCATGTCACTTCTGGCGCAAGAGTGTCTAGGCCAAGGAAAGACATATGGCATAAGCCAAGATCTATAGCATAAGGCCACGTTGGTCTCTTCAGTAGCTTCGAAAACGTGCCTGCTTCGGCGTAATTTGTCTCACTTTTCTTCGTTCGAGGCCCTCAAAAACCCTGCGCACTCCTCACTTTCTTGAAGCCAACGCGCGCACGTACGTCTGCAAAACGCGGGCGCAGCAGTAGGGGAGACGAGAATTCGTCGCACGTCAGTTAACAACACAGGGGCCACTTAACGGTGGTCTGGCACACTGCATTGGCGTGCCCCCGGTAGGTCCCGCACGTTCCCCATAGGTCTTGGCGGTAGATTTTGGGACGACTGCACACTTAGTGTAAGTTACCTATGCCTGTAGCCTGCGTGCAATCAATGGCTGAACTACTGTCGAGGCGCTGAAACATGGTGGAAAGCTTACCGAAAAGTGGAGCTGCAGCTTTCAGCTGGGACTATCGCATGTTTTTCGTTCCTCCCGTGCGTTGTTTTTCAACGCCCACTTCGCGTCATCGAGCGCACAGCTCTTCTAAGGGCTACCCCGGGCATGGGCCTACCTATACTTCTGTACCAGGCTTGGGCCAACAAGCAACTGAAGTCTGACTTTCAGCAGAAGCAGCAAACACTTAAGGATGCGTCAGCGACACCGACGCTTCGCGACAGGCGGCCATGGCCTTCGGCAGCAATTGTACAAAGCTCGCCTTCGGGTGCACGCGAGGAAGAGCGCTCCGTCAAGGATGTGCCAACTCGGGCGGAACTCTTGGAGACTGAATAATCATCCGCCTCCAGATCCTCTTGGGAACATCGGACACCATCGTCGTCGTCCCCGCACAACCTGGATACGACATGTGAGGAAACTGGCGCCTCCAGTTTCCATTTCAACACTCCAACTCGCACCCCAGCACAACAGGGCACCAACGCACAATTGGGGCGAGTGATAAAGCCCCCGGCCCCTCCTGCATCAGTGGAAGAGCGTGACGGCACAATCCTGTATCGCCCAGTTGGCAAGAAGGCCAACTACCTCGGAACAACCCGCGAGGCCATCGGGGCCTTCCTGTCCGGCTTCCCCGCCCTTCGACGCGTCCGCGTCAACTTTCGGCGCAACATGGTCGCAGTGGATGTCCATTCCCTCGTAGATCCTGCACCCCTTCTCCAGGTCAGCTGGCTCTGTGAGATACACGTTAGGGGGAAACTCCTTGTAAAGACCAGCTGCGTGAGCGCTGTCTTCGGCGTCGACGAACCCTCGACTTGGACGACATTGTGGCCAAACTCGACTCTGCCATCTCGGTCGTCTCCTGTGTCCGACTAGGCAAATGCCTCACGCTCACATTTCAGGGTACCGCTGCTGGTGGCCCTCTTCAAACTTCAGAGGCCGGTCCGCCCTCGACAGCAGCGGTCCCTTCAGTGTGCCCGCTGCGGTCGCTTCGGCCACGCCACGGCGGCCCGATCACGTGACCAACGCTGCCTCCACTGCGGTGGCAGCCACGCGAAAGCACCGTAGCCCGCGGAACGCCCTCGCTGGATGAAATACAGCGACACTTATCCGGCTAATGAGCTGTACTGCCCTTCCTGGCAGATTAAGCGCAAAGCTGCCGTCATCATCGCCTTTTCGGATGGCCACATGACGTGCTGCCAAGCACTGGATAAGGCCATGACCACCGTCAACAACATCGACAAGCGTGGCAGCGCGGCTGTCGTGAAGGGCCACTCCTTTCGAGACGCTGTCGCCGGTGGGGATCGATCGGCGTTGACATCCGCTGCTCGCCCTGCTAGATACTTGCGACGCACGACAGCGGCAACGCAGTGCCTAAGGGCCGGTTCATGCTAGCGGCAACCATTCCCCGATGGCGCAGTGCCGTAGACCAGCGGCCGGCGCCGCCCGCAGGAGAGTTGTTCAAGCTCCTCCAACAAAGGCTTCTGACATGGGCGCCAACGCATGCAGACCGGGTCCCATCTGGCTCTACTTATCCTTCCTCAAGAGCCAGGATTTTATGACCATTGGCACAAAATCGCACAAGCATCGCAACAGGCAAGTCACCATGTTTCATCTGACACCAATATTTTTGAGCTGGACTCCTTTTTCAACGAGAAACGGATGTTTGAAAAGGAACCGTAAGCGGTGGTCACAGCATTAAGCCTATAGACGCGCCCGCGTGGCAGTGGGAGAGGCTGCTAGGGGGCCAACTCCTACCCAACCTTTCCTACGGTCACTAACCTGCTCGAACAGCGACATAAGGGTCGGAGGAAGATAGAGACGACGCCCATTTCGGGCCAGCTACGTCGTTCTGTGTGCGATGGACACTTAGTGAACCGAGACGCCGAGCATCCGAGCTAAGCCTCTCTGAGACTCCGCTCCTTCGTCAACACTGCCAGCGACGCCTGCTGTTATCATGGAAGTAACGGTTGAGCGCAACACCATCTCTGCTGAAGAGTTCCAGGCCGGCAATCGGACACCAGTTCTCAACAAAGCCTATGCGCCTCGACCAGCCTCTTCACAAAAACCACTTTCGCAACCCAACGCTACCATCGAGGTGGCCAACCCGAACGCCGAGAACATCGCGTGCGTTGAAGCAGCCGCCACTGGCGGAGGCAAGAAGCTGGCCCACCTACCACCTGCTACCAAGGAAATGCGCATCATTGTACAATGCAGCAAGCAACTGCCACCACTCCCACCGAACACTCTTCGCGTCGTCGTTCATCCGCGAGGTCAACTACGACTCAGTGATGTCCCAACGCCTCTATTCATGAAGGCAGTGAAGGCCGCACTCCAAGTCACTCTACTTGATGAGTTATGCATGCGCATACATCCCACCAATAATACGTTTACTGCAGCTACAACACACTCCGCAGCAGCTAAGCTCCCAAAGACGCTGACTTCACTCACCATTGGCGGCCATGCTTACCCCAGAGTGGCTTGCGTGGCACCCCCACCAGGAGCTACACGAAAAGTCATCTCAAACGCCTTTGACGCCTTTGACGACGAGACCCCAACCCAGCTGTACGAAGACCTGGTCAAACGGAATCCCGAATACTCGATCAATACTCGCAGCCCGACGAATGGGGAAGACGCACTCCGTTCTCATCACCTTCGACGCCATTGAGGTACCACATTCCATTAAATACATGGGAGCTATTCATCCTGCACTACATACCGCGGAAGTCCGGATTCCTGTACGAATTGCAGACTACCGGACCATCGTCATGACGTATGCCCAAGCCCCAAGACTAATCTTTGCCCACGTAGCGGCATCCAACATCCACCCCAGGAACCTCCTTGCACGCCTAAGTGCATTTTAGGCGATGGCTCTCATCTTACCGGCACTGCATCATGCAAAGGACGTAACCTTCACCAGCCAAGCAAACAGACAAGGCAACCTGAAACGCAGCGACAACAAGCGGCTCCACACCGGGAGAACTTCTCCCAGTTGTCGCTGGGGCCCATTCAGCTCAGCGAACACAAGCAAGCCTGGACTGAGCCGCTTAAACAAGACTGGGGCCTTCCCCGTTCTTCCTCCAAGCACGCACCATCATCAGCAGGGACTTCCAGTCTACAAGACGCTCTGGCTAAGTCTCGGGAGGAGGCGGTGGCAACCATGGCTGAGGCTCAAGCAGCCCGAGCTGAAACCGCCGCCCTTCGAGAACACATCGCGAAGCTGGAGGCCCAGATAAGTACTCTTGCCACAAGCCATGCCATTCCAACTACCCCAACTCCTACTACATCCCAACCTGATTCGCACAACCCACCCACCGCCTCTAGCATATCTTTCACTACCCAGCCACGTCAACGCCGCATCATCTTCTGATTCGCTCGAGTTAGATATCGACACGCAACTTCTTCGGCACACAAATCAGGACACAACGCCGCGTCCCTCAACACACAGCTCAATAGCCGATATACCGACCCTGCTTGAGACTTTTACTGCTCGTTTTGAGGTCAAATTGCAGGACGGTATCATTAGCATCAATCAGGAATGCACAGCGCTTAAAGATGCGGTAATCCGTGTAACAACAGTCAAGGTTGCGCTTAATCATCGTTTTGATGCCTTAGCCCAGTCATTGACTGACCGCTACAACAATCTTGAATCACAGCTCAATTTTTTCGCAACACGCCTTCCAAAGCGAGATCTCACCCCTAGCAAACGCAAGAAGCCCAAAGCAGCTGAAGGCAAGGCAACCCACTCTCTTGCGGGGCTAACGACTCCCAACCCTATGCGGTGGCTACGTCCCCTTCTCGATTCTCATGATCACCGCTCCAATTCATAACCTCACACTACGGCAGTGGAACTGCCGAGTTTTTGGCCAGAAGCTTCATGTTGTCCAGCAACTGCTACCTTGCGCTGCGGGACCCGATATCCTTGCCCAGCAAGAACCCTCCCAATCCAGTAACCTTACCAGGCTTCTGTTACACCCACATCTCCTAAATCATCTCGGGTGGCGTTTCTAATTAATCGCTCAATTACCACCATCTCCCACTGTTTAGCAGTCGAAGACATTGACCACCTCCTAATTGAGCTTGTGCCGCAACATGCTAGAGCTAA